CTTGCTGGATGGGGAGGCTCCTGAGGGAGTCAAGTCCAGTGCCAAAGTTACAGAGAGACTAATGGGTGGAGCAGACTCTGCGCTAAGGGGGCCGAAGGGGACAAAATCCCCAGCAGAGGCGGTATGTGTATTCCCAAGCCCCCAGGAGATATTGAAATTCAGTACCAGAACCTAGGGAGAAAACCTAGGAAAATCTGGGATTTTCCTAATCATTCAGGTCCAGAATAAAGTTTAGTTTATATAGCAGGTACAATAATAGATTAGCAACCAAACAGAATAACCAGTAATACGCTGTAATAAGCATTATTGAAAATATGTGAAATGTTTATTTCCATTTAATATTTTCAAACTAAATTTGACCAGAGGTTCTTGAAGACAAAGAAAGCACATTTTGTTTGCTTGTTTTTGTTTGTTTGAAACTGGGTCTCTTCTATTATGCAGCCCTGGCTGTCCTGGAACTTGCTCATGAAGCAGGCTAACCTCAGATTCGCAGAAACCCACCTTCCTCTGCCTGCCAAGTGCTGGGGTCAATGGCATGGGCTACTACACCTGGCTTGCATTTGTGACTAACACACTATGCCTCTCGGCTCTCCTGACCCTTGCCCAGTCACAACAATGTAGCTCGTGGTTCTACCTCCTGTCCATGTCAGAACAAATGTTCTTTGGGAATTGAATCTGTCTACTTCTGCACTGAGACTCTCCCAGTACACAGTGGGTCAGTCTGCAAGTCTGTGCTCTGGATCGGATAAAAGGCACCTCTAACCCAGTGGCCCAAGACATAGTCCACTGGGGATCTAGTCACATGTGCCCACAAGGAGAGTGTCTGTGTGCCCTGGGAGGGGAAAGGGACAAAGAGCGGAATTACTGTGGGCAGGCTGCTTTGACCTTCCAAGACTTAGAAAGACAGACACCTGACCCATGGTGAGCACAGGCAGTCTATGAACTTAGGCTGGAGATGGGTTAATTATCAAAAAAGGGTTGTGTGTCCATGATGCAGCAGTTTCTGGGCAGAAGGTTCTAGATCTTGCACACCTCCAGTGAGTTTATAGCTTTACCCTCCTCTGCCTGGGTAACCACCAGTAGTTGACATAGCTCTCGTATCATCTGTTGTTCTGATGGGATTGCAGCCCCCACTTAAAACTATCCATGGCAGGCTTCCCACAGACCTCTATACCCCAGTCCTTCCCAGCTACAAGACCCTTCCTGGGTAGGGCCCCATCACCTCTGCCCACCTTGGCCCACTTCCACACTCTCCTTCCTTGAGCCTGTCTCCCCTTCTTGCCATGGCTTTTGAATTGTCTGCTGCCAACCCCAAAAGTCCTGGGGCCAGGACTGACTGTCCAGAGCACCAGGCTCTGGTGTCTACCAGAGCCTGAGGTGCCAAAGCCAGCAGGTGGCCTCTGTACCAGGTAAATGCAGATCGCAGAGCGGATATGAGGTCTGAGAGCATCCCCACTCCCTCTAGGTGACTTCTGCCCTCCATTTCTTCATCTGTGTAGTGGGAGTAGGCGGGAATGCCTTCCAGGGCTACCGCGAGTCTCATGTCTAAGGTGAGCATACTTTGTTTCCTGGACGGTGAGTGCCAGTCCTAGGGAGGCATCCAAGGCCATACCGGGACTGGTCTTCTCTGAAGTCGACCTCTTGCCACCAGCAGCTTCCTATTTTCCATCAGCAATACCTACTTCTGCCCTGGTGGACTTCCACCACCTGATTGAAGGCAGGCTTCCAGGAGACCGGAGGCCACTGTCCTGGCAGATGACATATGATAGAAGGGCTTTGCAAATCAGCAGGGGGCAAGCCAGTGACCCTCGGAAGCCTTGGGTGGCTCCTGGAAAGGACTTACATAAGCTGCAAGGTAAATACCGACAGGCCTGGACCCCAGACCCGTGGGAGAATCTCCAAGTGCTGGGGCCGGGCAGGTAGTGGGACTCCTATGCTTTCTGCACTGGGCTCTCACTACTGTCCGTAGGCTTGCTGCAGGAAACTCCCTGCAGGTATTTCTTCCATACACCTTCAGGTAAGTGTGTGCTGCGGCAGCCTCACAGACTGGCTTTCTCTCCTGGGCCTGCAACCAGCCAGGAAATGTGAACACGGAAGGGACAAATGTGTCTAACCTGCATCCCGTGGGCCACATAAGTCCAGGATAGCTATAAATGTGGCTCAACACGTGTGCAGGTGACATCATCGTGCAATCTCAAAAGGCATCCCAGAGTGAACTAAGCCACATGCCCAGAAACTCCCAGTGGGCTTAGTAACGTGCCAACTAGGGGACACAAGCGCTTTGATTAGTCCCCAGAATCCCAGGAGTCTACCTAGCCCTGCACAGGCTGTGTCACTGCTCTCTGTGCATCCACACCGGTCAACACCTGGGGAGCAAGGAGAGAAGGTGCAGAGCATCCCAGAGCCAGGTGGGCACCCTCTTCTCTCATGGTGGGTGCAGGACAAGCCCTTGCGTCTCTCTCTTCTGAAAGAAGCCTCCCAAATGAAATTCACTCTCCTCTGGGGCAAGTGACAGGAGCCATTTGAAAAGAGATGTTCAAGATGTCTAAGGGAGGCCGGATGAAAGTCTGTTCAAAAGTGATTCCTTTGGATACGTAGTTAAAAAAAACAAGTTTTCTTTTCTTGAAACCTTGGGAGCTTCGAGAACCCCGACTATTGGTTGTCTGTGTTCTCCGTGTTCACAGCGACTCTGCTGGCCCCTTACAAACCTTAGTCCTCATTCCTAACCATTATTTCAAGATCATTCCAAATGCCTGGTAGAACTAGGCTTATGGCAGATCATTTTGAGAGAGAGAGAGAACACCCCTGCACGTGCTGTGTGTGGACTCTGGTCCTTGGAGCTTGGGACCTGTTGTACACCGGGTAACTAAGATCTCTCTTTCTAATGGCCACCCTGACCATCTGGTACCTAGAGAAAGTCCTTCGGAGATGTAGCCGCATGAGCAGCCTCCAGTCATCCTTGCTCACTGTTATAAACATGCCACCTAGCACAATGCTGCCACTGGTAGGACAATGGTTTAATGTTGTCCCTGCCTGTTCCCCGGGTCATTCAGGAAATCATATAGGCAGGTCACTTTGCAAGTTCTTTTAATGTTTCCATTTATTTATTGTATATGGCAGAGTGACGTGTGTGTGTGTGTGTGTGTGTGTGTGTGTGTGTGTGCATATGGAGGTCAGAGGACAACTTTCAGGAGTTGGTTCTTTTCTTCCACCATGTGGAAGGTTCAAATATAAGCCATCAGGATTAGTGACAAGCACCTTTACCCACTCAGTCATCTCCAGGGTCCCAATTTTGCAAGCTTTGAAGCATTTTACAAATGGCTATTTCCTGGCCAACATGAGCAAGAAAAGGAGGGCTTGCCAGCAGACAAGTAGGGAATGTTCTGTGGGTGTCTGGAGGGTGGGGCAAAGTTCACCACAGGTATGAGGCTAATCAGCAAGGGTGGGTTTAAAAGTTCCTGAATGTTACAGTTTAATCGGGTCGGGTCCCCAGTTCCCAAGTAAAGAGATGTGCGCTTAAAGTTTCCTTTCCCGAGTAGGTTCTCCAGGGCGCTCATCGCCACAAATAGCATAGTGGCAGGCGCAGCGTGAGGACAGAGAGGAGGGCTGGCATAGCACACATTTCGTTCCCAAAGGAGCGGTATCCTGATGCGTTGGCACCCCGGGGGCCGTGTGCATTCCGTGAGCAGAGATCCAGGGGCGACGCAAACAAAGTGGCTGCGCTGGGCCGCGGCCACCCCCTTTCCCCCCTCCCCGGCGCTGGCAATTGGCAAAACCCCAGCGCCTCAGCTGGATACAGTCAACCCCTCAATCCCCCAGCGTACGCAGAGAGGGTGCAGCCCGGGGCGAGGGCTAAGAATTGGAGCGGTGGCGCCTCCTCGCCACCGTCCCCGATGCCCTTCACCCTCTTAGTTCCCCGCCCGCCACACCCACCCTGGCAACTCGGCCACCTGTTGCCGCGTGCCCCGGCTTGCTCTTCCTTCCCCCACCCCCCATTTCTCATCCTGGTTCCCTAAAAATCAGATCCTTCCCTCTCGCCTCCCCTACGAACTCCCGGGACTCTGGGGTGCGCTCGGTGGCCTAAACCAGCTCACCGAGGGCACACGGCGGGAAGTTATACCCGACCCGCCACCTTGAACTTCAGTCCCGGTTGGTGCGCGGGGCTGGGAACTGTAGAGCGCGCTTCGGGGTGTACCCTTTCCGCAGGGCTTTCTCGCCCGTCGGGTGACCTTGAGCACTCCCCACACCTAGCCAGCCTCAGTTTACTAACGGACACCGCGGCCCCCGGGCACTAAATGGGCGTCGGGGAGGGCTGCCCCGGGCCTCTTCGGCCCCGCCCCGCCCCGCAGCAGCCAATCGCACGCTGCCGTCTGGGGGGTGTGTCTCGTCCTGAGCCGCGGCCCTTTGCCTAGGGGGCGGGGTTTCCGGGGCGGTCACCTCGCCG